TAATAATAATAATCCTCGTGTCTGGTTTGGTTTGTTGCAGGTGAGAACATTGTTCATCATCCAAATCTGGATCAGGTGTTCACAGTCGACCCTGCTGCGCCTCCCGTCGAAGGTAAACACAGCAGATGAGACGGTAATCCGCGACGGTGGAGAAGGCCTTTCACCCAAGCTCTAATTCATGTGGGGTTGATTCACAGATCAGAGAGGATTAGATACGAAGGGAGGACAGAGATAGTATTCCTAAGCATGCTCGTGTGGTTTCAGTGTGTGTTAGCGTTGGTCTTTTAAATATGCCCTGCAGCTGGCACACATTTAGATTTTGGCGTTTTGCTTTCCTCAGAGGATTTGAGAGATACAAGATTCACACATTTATATTTTCTAGAAAGAAAGACAGACAAGAAGGAAGAGAGACTACCATAGTATAGACAGAAGCGTGCACTGTATTTAAAGTCCTAGGAGTAGCTCTTGCATACGTTGTTGTGGTCACACAGCTCTCTTTATTAAGTAGAGAAACAGTTTAAAGAACACACTGTACACACAAGGTGTGTGTTTGTACACCCATTATTGTCATTCATTTAATTATCTCCTAGGTCTCGTACACAATATTGCATGATCTTAAGAAACGTATCTAGTTGTGCACAAGTGCATGTTGCTAAGCAAGTACTGGCTTAATCGCATAGAATAACAATGAAAGCTGACTGAATGAATGAAACCCGGGTAAACAGATTTAACATGCCTAACATGTTTTGACAACACTTTATGAACACCAGGCAAACCCATTGCCACATCCATTCATTTAAGAAGCATTCAGTCCTACACAGCACAGTGTAAACCCACTTCCCTCTAAGAGTCTGGATTTGTCCTACATTAGCAAACATGTATCAATTTATTTGGCTCCTTCCCCAGGCTCTGTTGCACTCTCATGTCTACTTCCTCTTTGGTTACAATATGAGAGTCAACTCATAGTACTTTTAAATCAAATGTACAACATACCCATACAATCAAAACACAGATAATGAAAGAAAAAAACCTCATTACAAACCTGGGATGTAAAACAAAGAGAAGCTCATGGGAAATGTGCTGCAGTGAATAAAACAGATGCTAATTTACATACAAGTTTTTAAAATGGTTGGACAGCACTAACAGAGCTACATCAAATATTTTAGAAACGT